GAGCGAGAAAAAAAAAGAAATGCGAACCGGCGAATTATTGAAGCGAAAGTTGAAGCTGCTCACATATTTTGTGCGAACGGAAAGAATCGAACGTAAACTAAAACGGCTCGATATCAGCTCGGGTATACGATATTTAATTCGTACCAGATATCAAGTATTAACTCCTATAGCGTGTAATTACTGACACAAATTACTGGAGTAGATAATAACCTTCTTTATCTGCTTTTTATTTGTACGATGTCGGTGTAGATATAAAATGCGCTGTGGGAATTTTGTAGAGCGTTTTGTAATATAAATACATAGCAAACATTATGCCGAATGACCCGGAATTAGCCCAGATATAGAATTTCATTGGTCTTTTTTACAAAATTCGAAATCGCCTTTTCGATGCCAAAAATATCGAGTTGTTAATCGAGCTGCCGATTCAGTATCATCTCGTATATTAAATTGCAATTTTCGTTTCGATAAGGTTTTTCCAGCTTCAAATTGGAACAAATTTTAAATTGAACTGTTACAAATATCATGATTGTATTTACATGTTCTTTTATCATTTTTGTTATTTCAAATTGTTTTGTGAACTCAATTCGTTCACAGTTGAAAATTTTCTATTAAAAACAGATATTACATGTCTCAAACGGTCCACAGAAATTTTTCTGTTAATTTAACATAATATGGATATGTTAAATGAAGACACAAATATTGTGTCAATATTTTAACACAAAAGAAATGCAAAACTTCAAATAATTTGAAATAAATTTTGTGTAAAATTAACATAATTTTAATGTAAAATTTAACAAACAATATGTTAATTTTAGATCTTATCATCCCCACTTATATTATAAAATAGAAAATTAACATTTTTTTCTGTAAATTTTAACAGACAAATATTGTCACTAATAAAGCAGAATATATTTATTGTGTAAACTTAAAAACAGATGCACATTGTGTTATTTTTACATTTTTGCAGTTGTTTTAATAATTTAACATTTAAGTTCAATTATAAAATTAACAGAACAGTAATATGTTAAATTAACACATAAATGTGTCAAATATTGAATACAAAAATTTGAACGGGGACCGTTCTTAACAAGATAACAGAAATTTTTCTACTGTGTTTAGATAAAGATTACAGAAATAAATGGTTATATACGTTGAGTCCGTTCTCCGTATATGTGTTCTCGTGATAAACAATTTTGATTGGAAATTAAAGGTCGTTGCTTACCCTGTCATCGTCGCGTGCACGTTTACCGCGTTTACTTCGTATATGATCATGAAATTTGCTGCTAATATCGCTCCGTAGATCCAGATTTACGGCTTTAATGCATATCTGACATTCACCGTGTAAATCACATTCCCGTAAAACGGAAGCAATCTCCCAATGTAAAATACGGCCGCTTCTTGTTTCGCGGGATATCGATTTATGCGAGGGAGAATTTGCCTTTACATAATAGTCCGGGGAAATGCAACCGAACGGGAGCTGCACGATACTGTCGTAGCAGTATTATACGATATTATCCTAAGCATCTCTCCAGACTGAGCTATGCGAATCGAATTCTTGCATTACATACATTTTAACAGACGTAATCGGCAAAGTAAGCACAGTTTACGGCGATACTTATCTCCCAAACTGCGATGCATAAAACGAGCCGCCAGTAAATCACGCTGCAATATTTATTGTTTCGCTGAAAAATTATGATATTTCGGAAAACTTGGTCCTTACCTGTTTCCGGCATCTCAAACTGAACACATTTTCAAGTAATGGCTTAAATAATCAACTATTCAATTTTTACAATTAATGTATTAATATTATTTTTTAAGATGTTCACTGAAAAAAATTGATTTAATTTGAATAAATATTTATTTCAATACTGCAAAATGAATCATTTATTTGAAACTAATAATATTTATTTGATATAAGAAAATTCTTTTCAAAACAAATAAATATTTATTTATTTCAAATATATGATTCATTTGACAGTATTGAACTAAATATGTATTAATTAGTCATTTTTTCAGAGCCTAAATAAAATTCAAAATTTTATAACACAAATTCTCAATAGAAAGTGTAAATTAATTTTTTGTAGAATAATATGCAGTGTGGAATTATTTTATATGTATATTTCTTTTATGCAAATATATATATTTCTATATATTTTTTGGGGGAAAAAATTACTAAAAATATGAATGCAATTAATTAACTATGAGTATTTCATGATGTTATTCAGCAAAATTTCTAGCTTAATAATTTATATATTAAATGTTTCGTTCAAAATATGTCATAAAAATTACATAATTCTTGGAACTTTCGTAATGTCTGACTATTATGCTTCAATATCACTTAAGGTGACGAAATATTCCGTGCTCCGTCCTTGTAATCGATCGTTGGCGAAAAGAGAGAGAGAGAGGAAAGTCGACGTAATTTATCGCCCTAATAGCCATCCAGATTTTAATCAGTTTCTTCCCCGGGCCACTTACCGTTTATGACGATTCACTCTGACGGGACATTTCGAGAAATTGAATAAAATCATGCTCAAGAGTCACCGCCAGATGATATTCTTATAACTTCAGAACGAATTTTCTCAATGCATTTCGAGAAGGTCGCACGAATTGCTATTGCGAATCTGTGATCCCGACAAAACCGATTTTTAATATCACTACGGATATAATAATAATAATAGTATAATAATAATAATAATAATAATAATAATAATAATAATAACAAAGAGAAAAATTTAGTACCGTATTTGCAACTTTTCGAATCTTAATATTAAACATCTTGACAATGAAACTTTCAACCAAAATTACTGCACCGTTTTTTCACTTATAATATAAGTAGCTGTAAAATAAAATTCTATATAAAAAAAAAAAATAAAATATATACTTTCGACATATTTTGTATATTTCGTATTTAAATATGTCATGATACTCTCTATTAATCAAGATTTAATTTATATTAATCTTGCAGTGAAACGTACGGTATGTTATGTTTATATAAGGTACCGTAATTATAAACAACGCGTGCAGGATTTGTACAATAAAATTTATTCGTATCCACACGTCGGAGACTAAATTATTGCACATACGTGTTCAGTATGATAATGCAAAGCGAATAAAAGCGCAGAATGATCTACCCTGCGTTTCGCGACATAACTCAGCGATGTCAAATGATATCCGTAGTGTAAATATACCTCTCTGCCTCCGAATAGTAAAAGCAAAATGGTATAAAACTATACGAGAGAAATTGCGGATAGCTGTTAAAATACGCGGCGAAATATTTTTGTTTACAGATTAATATAAATTCAAATCTTTATGTAAATATACGCTATGTACGAAAATGGCTGCCGAGAAATACTTCCGCGTGATGTAACGTAGCACAATCGAAAGAATAAATACGAATTCTCGCATAAAGTTATTTTTAACGAAGGAGATTAAATCGATAAACGACGGGCAAATGCGCAGGTGGAATTGTCAGGTATATATTGTACATAAATATAGATAAAAATATGTATATACATATATCAGTCAAAAATATAGCACACACACACACACACACATGAAAATAAATAAACCAGATAACTTATATTAAATTTCTTGTAAAAATATTTCATATCCCGCTCTTGCAATTTCTCTTCGTAAATTATTCATTTCCCTTTTTAAAATTGTTTATTAACAAAAAAAACCATTTTTTTCTCTCGACAGACATTAGAAACACTGCAAAATTAGCACTTTTTCCAGAAAGATAATTATCGCGATCAGGTTCATAAAATTTATATAATCCTTTCTTTCGAGCTCTGTTTTAGTTCTGTTTTACTGACTTTAAGTTATGTTAGGTTCATTTTTTATTGAATATTTGATTGAAAACATCTCCACAACGAAAGTGTATTATTCTTTCATGTCATCTCGATTGGGAAGCGCCATATTTTGTGCAGATATAAATTGCAGAACTTTTGTATTAAATAAGTATTATTATGAACTGATGCACGAGGTCGATAAAAAACTGTAATATTTTAACTTTTATTAGTCTTTTATACGAAATTACAGCGCTCCCCGTTCATTATGATCAGTACTTTAATTGTGGAGAAGGATTTTTCAATCTGTATAGCCAATAAAATAAAAGCCCTTGAACTCAAAGTCGGTAAAACAGACATGGTCAGCATTAATTCGATATATTTACACTACTTAAAGAACAGAACATTTCGTTTGAAACTACTTATAACATATATCTAAAGTTACACATTATATTCCGAAAAAAGTTGAAGCAAATTTTTGTCATATGGGTTTTGATATACAGGGTGTCCGGTAACTAACGGACCAATGATTAAGGGCGGATTCTCTGGCCAATTTGAAGACGATTTTTCCTTAGCAAAAATGTTGAGAAGTCAATAATTTTCGAGTTATAAGCGATTGAAAAAAAAGGGGTCTTTTGAAAACTAAATGTTTTGGAGTTAAAAGTCTAACATAATTACATTCTTCAGTTAATTTCAGGTAGAGTTTACTATAATAAAATTTTAATTTGAGGCTTAGTTATAAAGATACATAATGACAAATATTGGAAAGTTGTAAAAAATGATGACCTTTTTCGACATTTTCGCTGAGGAAAAATCGTTCCCAAATTGATCAAAAAATCCATTTGTAATCGTCGGTCCGTTAGTTACCGGACACCCTGTATAGAATGTTACGTATATCTTTACATACATTTTATATCTCTCTTTCGAAAGTAACGTTGTAAATTAAATTCAACTCAAATATATATATATATCCCGTGATGTGATGAACTCTGTCTTTTAATTTTACGACGAGATTAAAAATTGCCAGCGCACCATCTAACGGCGGTATTTCAAGATCCCCTCGTGGGAGTTTCACGATCGCACGGCGATAGTACGTGATGGATTTTCGCGCGCGGCCTCGATTTCGCCACTCGATCATTCTCCGATCCAATAAACACCGGGCGTATAGGTTTCCTTCCGCGCGTACGGAAATGAGAGTGAATCCTCCCTTACCTGAATGGAATCCTTCCCAGCTTCCCGCAGGATGTTCCGCGGCTGCGTGTAACCCGGGCCGTTGCTGTACAGCAACGTGGTATAGGGCTGTCCGTCAATGTCCGACAACTTGCTGTCAGAGCCTGAGAGGGAGAGAAAAAAATTAATCGGGGTTATTATTTTGTCAGCGATTAATCGTTTCGACAAATCAACGGGTTTGTCCGGGAGAAACCCTATAAGCGATGATTCTAAATTTTTATCAATCCGTCACTTTTATGACTGATTCATCGATATATATATATATATATATATATATATATATATGTATTTACGAAATTTGTTAAATGTTACGTTGCACGTCGGGGCGTTTGATGATTAAAATTAAATTTTAGTTCGCTTAAGCGAGTTTCGAGTTTGCCCTGCGCTTGTAAAGAAAATCACAAATGCGTTAAATATAGGACGCGATGACTGTGACACTTGCGACCATCTGGTTTCCGCGATAGTAAACTCTATTAGAGAAGTTTCTCTCGACGCGTTTACCTTATTACTACCATGGTTCCTATCCTATTACGCGATGCGGTCCGAATGATCTTGCGCGTTAAGAACGTTTTTAACGTCCGAGAATCGTCAGGACACCTTCAAAAAAAAAATAAAAATAAAAATAAAAAAAATAAAAAGAGAAGAAGATGTAGAGAGAGACTCTATATAAGGCGAAGGGATGAGTCGAGAGACTCCGGGACATGCCCGGCGGTGGATATGTTTTATTCAAGGTGCTTTTTCTTTCTCTCCGGTAAGAGAGCCACCTTCAAAAAATAGACCAGCAGCAGCAGCCGCAAGGGCCGCGAATGCCGGTTTCAGGTTTCCGTCCGTCGTTTAACAATGTATAATTCGACCGTTTATTTGCGCGGCGTTTCACTCTAATCGGGGACGCTCGCTGCCGCTTCTCTTTAAACCCGCCCTCGCATTTTACGCCCGATAGACCGAAACATACTCCTCCTTGTTTCTTCGGAGTAATTGCACGTTTGTTGCCGCTGCACGCCATGACTCCCTGACTGATGCGCATACACCCAACATCGTTTCGCGTGCCGTTTAGTATCTTGGTATAACCAGGAATAAGTCTGCGAAAACGAAAGGAAATTATTCCTAATGGTTTGTCGATCTATTTGTCAAAATGTCTGCGGTTCCTTAACTTTAATAATCTCGACCAGCTGATTGTATTTATTCTACACGTTGCGGCATTTAGAGAAATAATATCTGAGAAGTGTATGTATCGAAAAAAAGATTTCAGGATCTTTAATTTAATTGGAAAGTTAGAGGAAAAATTAATTTTTCGTTAAAATTTCGAGATTTTATTTCTAACAAACTTCTTTAGTATAAGTAAAATCCGAATTGTGAGATTTTTATTTAACTTTTTGATATTATACCAAGAAAAATGTGTACGCTGTGCACAACAAATTGCAACAAGTTTCGACAAAAAATTAAATTATTTTTAATAAATCTCTCTCTTTAGAAGAGACAGAAGAAGTTATTAAAAATAGAATTTCGAATTGGATGAGATTTATTTCTTGGTATCGTAAGAAAATTAATGTCCTGTACACAATGAATTCCAACAACAATAAAAAATTAATTCTATCTAAAAAAAATTAATTCAATCTCAATTTGAGATTTTATTTTTAATAAATCTCTTTAGGAGAAAAATCTCTTTAGGTCTATTAAATATAAAATTTGAATCGTGTGAGATTTATTTAATTTTTGATATTATACCAAGAAAAATTAATACCCTGTGCATAACAAATTGCAACAAGTTAAAAGAAATTAATTCTTTCTAAAAAATTAAATAAATTTCAATTTAAGATTTTATTTTTCGGAAGGGAAAGACAGCGGAGTTTATTGAAAATAAAATCTCTAACATTTTCAGATTTAATGAATTTTTTAATATATATCGTACTAAGAAAAATAAGGGTCCTCTGCACAATAAAAAATGAATTATTCCTTGAAACTGATATCTGGCTCTCACTTGTCTAAACTGAATGAAGACTACTTTTCTTTTTAAAATACACACACAGGAAAGAATCTAAAAAAATTTCATTTCCAAAGACAAATAAAATTCTCGATTATGAAAATAAATGATTTCGATCGTGCTGAAGCATCTCGCTGATAAGGCTGTTGAATTATGCGTGAAAAGAAAAGATGCCCCCTCGTTACGGTAAACAACGGCGCATTCCGCCGGCGCTAAGCACTTCACGGGGGGTAGGTTGTAACACTTTAATTGCCCATCTGTAACGTCCGACCTGACGTGTAATGCCCTACGTCAGGATAGCGAAATGCGCCGCTTACATCAGGCCGTCCTGACAGCGCGTCCGGAACGAAATGAAGCTTTGCGTTCCTTTCGGGGCTGGAACTCGCGAATTACACTTGTACGACTGGAAGGGGCTGGGGGAGATATAGGATCACGAAGTCGGCAAAGTAATATCCTGCAGTCTACCCCCGGAGATCTGGCAAAGTAAACTCGTGCCGGGATAAGTAGGTGTATACGTGCGAGCGTGACTTTCAAGATGCGCCGAAACGATTTTCCTCGAAGTTCTCGAGCCCGAAAAATATACTCGAAGGATATAGAAAGTTCGGAATGCGTAAATGAAAGCTCTGTGTGTCTATCAAATCGCGGAATCAACGTTTATTTACAAGATTACTCGATGAAGCGGTTAACGGGGCGGAAATTGTCGTAAATAGTTTTATTTACTCTCGCGATGTTTAACTACGCAACGTTTTAAGCCAACAGAGCGAAAGATCAATAAATCGATGGGATACACGTTGTATTTTAAATTACAGAGAACGTGTAATTTACACGTGTAACACCGCTGAGAAAAAAAGCACGAGTAAATTATTCGAAATCGCGTGATCTTCAATTTGACAAATTAATCAAGCTCGACAGAGAAAGCTCATTTCAGCTGAAATCATAAATTTTTTTATTTACCCCGCTCGTTTGCATGGCGAGATATTTTTCAGAGATACTCGAAAATGTCATAAACAATGTGACGTTTCATCGACATCGCGCGTTATATGAAATTACGCGATGTAAAGTTAACGACGAAATGCGCGCTCGTGAAACTCGCAATCAAGGATGATCCTTTTGTCGGTAAAGAAAAGTCATATTGGACGATCCACCACCACTATCTAACGATATCGAATTGCGGTTTTAGGCCACGCTGTTACGGTAATGCTTTACGCAATATAGCTGAGCCGATTATGCGGCAATATTGTGCCATTAAGTATTAATTAATGCTCTGAAGTATATTGTGCCATCACATAGGCTATTTCGAAAAGCAAATTCAAGCCCGAGAGACTACGGGCCGTACGAACTAAATTACACGTCGATAATGGCAGCGTTATGGCATGAAATTCAGCACGAAAGAAGGGAGACGGTATTTTTGTATAATCATATACTCAATCTAATCCGGTAAGTAAGGCTTTTGAGACGCAAAATGTATGATGATGAATGAACAGCTGACGCAGATGGAGAAGAATTCCTCGTAAAAACTTTATTTCTTAATGGTATACTTAAATACCTAGTTAAAATAAGAATAATTCGGTGCAAACAAACGTGTAAAAGGTTTATATTTATTTTATGAAAATATAAATATTTTAAAAATTCCTTTTTATAAATGTAAAATATTTCTAAAGTATATTACATATATTTATTCCAGACATTATTCAATTTAAATATATTTAATTGAAAAAACAAAATATATTTAATTTATAAAACAAAAAACATATTGTATAAATCTAAATCATAAGGAAGGCGTAAAGAGCCATACGCGGATGTTTTCTACGTACATTTACAACGGAAATAAATTTTCGTTGGAAACAAAGCGTGCGCACGGCAAACAACATATTGTATTTATAGAATACATTTTATTCTATAAATATATGTCTTGTTTTATAAATATAAAATGTTATATTATTTTATAAATATATTTTTTATTGATAAATCTTTAAAGTAATGTATATCATGAAGTAGAAATAAGTCGTCAGTGCAAAAATAACACATTTATTTATTATTTTTCCGACCAACAAACTGACCATCAATTTGTAATGTATATCATTTACATACGTCATTATTTGCACTGAATTATTATTTGAATCAAACATTTAAGTCTATTTTTTTACGCGAACAATAAATTTCTTAAGTAACTAAAACAATATTGCCAATAAATAATGACGAGGACTCGACTTAATTTCGTACATACATAATCTCACAATCAGCTGATCGCGAGAGCGAGTCTGCATTTATAAAAATGTCCGTAACGAGCGTTACAAGAAATCGAGCGGCCGAGATAGGAATCTCCATCCGCGCGTTTCAGTTGATCACGTGATCCGCGCGTTTCAGTTGATCACGTGATCACGTAAAAGCCGGCGATATCGCCGAATTCGCACATAAAAGAATTCTCATAGTCCCGCCGACACACAAAAGTCGAGGGGATCCACTGTATAATTTAACTTCCACTCGAAGAAGCCGTATGCACCTTCGTGAGCGGCCGCTATCGCATAACTTTCCGCAACTCTCCGTGATATGCTTCCGTGATCTTATATATTTCTGAGTTAATAGGTCGCGGGCCTCTCCCGCGTGGCGTGCCGCGAACCTTCCCCCTCCCCCTTTCCGCCCCAGGACCAGACCATATCGTCCTGGCACGATAGGTCCGACAGGACATAGCCGAACTGATTTACGAACATTTCGCGAATTCCAACGAGGGACCTCCCGCATATAAAATATTCCAGCAACGCGGTTTGATTAGTTTCGATTATATAAGCACGCATGTTCCAACTTTTTTTTTATATACATATGTACGAGAAAAAGAGGCAAGAATTATTTAGACCACCATTTTGCACCAATCAGTTCTGGAAATTCAATCGTTTTTTGTTTGCTATTTTTTTTCGAATGTAATAACTTTTCCGAAATATTTAATGCAATTATTGGAGAATTTTTTGATATTTGTAATGAAAAGCACACGCACCAAAGGGCTGTTCTTTTCAGCTGCACTGGTTCGCAGAGTTTGCCTTTTTTACAATTGAAAGGAAGGTGATAAATTCTGAACTAGTGCAGCCACTTCAGTTGAAACGTCAAATTTAGATTTAATAATTCCAT